TTACATTCTGACTCATGGACATTTTTGATATAGATCAGAGAGCACATTCACACCATATTTACAAAAAAAAAAAAAAAAAAATTAATGAAGTCATGTAAATATAATGTGTACAAATAAGAACAAAATAAAATGCCATAAAGATAGACTAATGTAAATATAATGCACATATAAAAATGTACTTTAACATATTATGTACTTAAAAGTAAAATAAACATCTTAGACACAGTGAAACTTATGTACAACCAGCCAGGGGACTTCGAACGACACCTGTCCTCCACTCTTTGCAACTTCACCAATATTAAAAGATAATGGCAGTAAAATATATTTAATTTAAAAAAAAATTAATCTCCCCTTTTGTAGTGGCATTTTTTTTTTAATTTTTTTTTATTTTTTGAGCTGGCTACGCCCTTGTTCACTGAAAGATTGTTTATATTATATATATTTGAGGGGCATATTCTGGATTATTTAAAAAAAAAAAAAATTAAACATAATTCGCTGTTTTAAACCATTACAATTATGATGATTCAAATTAATTTCAATCAAGCATTTTTTTTTTCTGCCAAAACCTTCTTAAGAACCTAAATATCTCGATAACGAGATAGTTACGGAACTAGAAGAAGACTGAATAATTGTAGAAGTCATCCTCGGTCTAAATTAATAATATTTAGGCCAAGGTTAGTAGCTGCCAAATGGAATTCAACATTAAAAAAAAAATTATACCCATGGTTTATAAACCTACTTCAACCTCATAAAATCAGCAGTGTATAGTTCAGATTTAAAAACCCTATCTTACTCTTATGAAGTTTCTAAGAAGAAAAAAAAAAAAAAAAAAATTAAATTAAATCCTTTTTATTCTATAAACTATGTTCTGTTTTTCAAAAATTATAATTCTTTTTTTAATATCGCCTATATATTAACTTTGTTTAAGTAGACAGAAAACAAGGTAGAAGTCAGAAATGTGTTTAGCGTTTAAACGTAGTTACATAAATGTGTAGAAATGACTATTCCCACAGGACTCTATATTGCGTCGTTAAATTGCCGTTTACTGAGAAGCGCTAATTATAAACAGGGTAATTTTATTTTTATTTTTTAAATATATACAGTATATTTTTTAAATAAGGTACTAGCTGAGAATAAATGGTTTCGCTGGATTCATCTTAGGAGCCCTCAGATGTCAAATCCCTTGAATTGTCCAGTTAGGATTTTATTATTCCTTCGTTCGATTAAGCTACCTTAATTTATTTTATTCGAAAAAAAAATTAAAACCTCATTTCTCCTTATAATTTCCCTTAAACACTATCGAATTTCTCGAGCTTTTAAATAACAAATCTACCATTGGTATCAATAATACACTAGTCACCAAAGCCTAGTTAAAAAGTTGACATTATTCATTTTTATTTCTATATATTCTTTATATATATATATATATATATATATATATATATATATATAGAAATAAAAATGAATAATGTCAACTTTTTAACTAGGCGTTGGTGACTAGTGTATTTTATATACACACATATATATGTTTATTCTATGTATATTTCTATGTTAGTAATAAACATGCCTATTTTATAGGCAAATGATATTGCAAATGAATTTTACAATAGGTTTATACTGTAGCTATTTGATATCCGAAAAGTTACTGGTCCAGTCTCAAATCAAACTAAAATAATTTTTTTTCTTAGGTTTTTATAATTGAAGGAACCTCTTCCATTTTTAAATACTTATATATAATCCCCTAGTCCGATGTTTTGGCTTTTTGCTCAATCTTTGAGGACAATTTATTCTGGTGATTGTTGTTTATTATAAATAATTAAAAAGGAAGGAGATGGTCCTGGGTGGCGGAAATAAATAGGCTAAATAGTGGTATTTTATTATATAGTTTCACCACTATTTAGCCTATTTATGACCCCCACCCCGGACCATCTCCTTTCTTTATAATGGAACAGTCAACTATTAAATATTCAATAAATAATTAAAAAGTTTCTGAAAAACACTCTCATTGTTATAACCGTGCATGATAAACATTTATTAGATAAAATTTATGTTTAAAATAAAATACAATTTTTTAAAATAATAATTTCAATGAATGTGATTTCACTCTCAATCTTCCTCTCAAGTACCTTTAATTTTATTTATTTAAAATAATTAACTATTTCATATTGCAATGAGCAATAAATGGCAGATAAATATAAACCATGGACGAATTTTATAGTTAAATAAAGGATAAATAATGGTTAATCATAGATAGAAACTGTTAAAACGGAAACATCCGAGGAACTGTTAAATATCTTATTAAAATATTTAAAAAATATTTTCATAAAAAATGTTGAAGATCTAGTGATATATATATATGCATACTAATATTAACAATTCCTTTAACGTTCTTCTTGGTGGATATGTATGATTTCACATTTTCTTATTTCATTCCCGAAATAAGAAATCGCCTGAAATAAGGTATCTGTCACATTGGTCAATATTTGGGAAATGGACCAGTGCTGAAGCGAAGGGAGGCAATTTCGGCAATGGCGCCGTCTGCATTGGGTATATTAGTGAAGGGCAAACATATTCGTTGACAATATTGATCTTCAGTTCTAGCTTTAGAAGATTCAAAGTTACATTTTTTTCATATTTCGAGTTACTTTATCCTTAGAACATCATCCTTTCCACCTCCCAAAAGAACCGATACAGGAGTATTTGATAGTGTCACTCACTTCAATTGATCTGATTATCGCTCAGGAATCAAGGCAAAATGTTGATTTTAATAAGTTTACTTTCTATAAGATGATTTCGGAACTTTTTTGGTGGTTTATGGAGAGCTCACGAAGTATTGCTTTTCCCCACTTCAACACCGCAAGCGGTTACCGCTTGATAATCAGCGAAACCTACGAGTAGAACGGGATCGTTGATATGGAATAATTTTTAAACATATTCCTCCACAATTTTTGGATCACACAGTTCTGTTAACAGGGATTCTATGCTTACATTGAAAAAACGCTACAAATTATTTCACAATGGTTTATTATTTCCAAACAACTATACATCTAAAGTAACATTACCTTCCTAGCTACAAAGAAAAATAAATAAAATATAATTCCGATTATTGGACTAACCTTTTTTTTTAATCGTTAATAAAATACTAAAAAAAAATTAGCATTACTTTAGTGACACATTCAAAATTTAAAAACCAAAAAAGGATATAAAATTTGGAGAAGAACATATAAAAAAAAAAACTGGAAACCATATCTTTGCTCCTAATTGTCCCCTTTTAACGTTTTTTTTTTTTTTTTTGTTTATTAGGAAATTCCGTAAACTTTTTTCCAGCTTCTTTTCGTTGAAGTATGTTATATAGATAAATTTGAAGGGCGTCAAGAAAATGACTATAGCGAAGTTTCATTGAAATCGGTACATTGGTTTAGAAGCTACAGTCTATAGCAACGAAGGTTTTTCGGCCTCGGGTGACCACTGATTTTATATCCAAATTTTAAGAAAATCGGTCCAGTAGTTTCGGAGAAAATACGTGGACGGCGGACGGACAAAACAATTTTTATTCATTTTTTGAATTCAACGCATCCTGAAACGTTGCACCTCAAATTTTGAGGGGTGGTTGAGTTTTTGAATTTTTTGGTCGATCACAATGGTTGATTATTAAAAATAATAAACCAAAAATAGTTAAAATCACGATATCTCTACTAATAGTGCTTTGATTTCGATGAAATTTCCTTCATTTTATAGAAAATTTAAATACCTTTGAAACATCTTATCACAATATCGACAAGAAAGTCTATACTTTTTTGAGTTATTCGGAATTAAATTTTACCATCCCCCGTAACTTTTTTCTCAGCTTCTTTTTTTTGTTGAAGTATGTTATATAGATAAATTTAAAGGGCGTAAAGAAAATGACTTTAGCGAAGTTTCATTGAAATCGGTACATTCGTTTAGGAGCTACAGTCTATTGCAACGCAGGTTTTTCGACCGCCATTTTAAACAAAAAGGCGGATAGTAATGTTGATGAAAGGGGATCATCATCGGGTGACTTCTGATTTTATATCCAAATTTGAAAAAAATCGGTCCAGTAGTTTCGGAGAAAATGCGCGGACGGCGGACGGACAAAACAATTTTTATTCATTTTTTGAATTCAACGCATCCTGAAACGTCGCACCTCAAATTTTGAGGGGTGGTTGAGTTTTTGAATTTTTTGGTCAATCACAATGGTTGATTATTAAAAATAATAAACCAAAAATAGTTAAAAATCGTGATATCTCTACTAATAGTGTTTTGATTTCGATGAAATTTCCTTCATTTTATAGAAAATTTAAATACCTTTGAAACATCTTATCACAATATTGACAAAAGAGTGTATACATTTTGAGTTATTCGGAATTAAATTTTACGATCCCTCGTAACTTTTTTTCTAGGTTATTTTCACTGAAGTATGTTATATAGATAAATTTAAAGGGCGTCAAGAATATGACTTTAGCGAAGTTTCATTGAAATCGGTACATTCGTTTAGGAGCTACAGTCTATATCAACGCAGATTTTTCGGCCGCCATTTTGAAAGTAAAAGGCGGATAGTAATGTCGATGAAGGAGGATCATCCTCGCGTGACCTCTGATTTTAAATCGAAATTTTTAAATTTTTATTTTTTTTTCGAATTTTACTTATCCTGAAACGTGAAACCTCAAAGTTTGAGAGGGCTTTAAGTTTTTGAATTTTTTGGTCGATCACAATGGTTAATTATTGAAAATAATATACCACAATTACCTATTTTTACTCAATATAGAGTGGTAAGGAAAAGCTGTGTAATGTGCGCATGTACCAGATTTTTTATTAAAAAAATTATGGTAAGCGAACATTGAAGGTCTACGAAACCTGAAGGTGGTATACTCAAACATTTATCCTGTTGATTCTACTTGAAAGGAGCCATTTCAATAATGGCGATATACATTTGAAAAGGTAGAATAATTAACAAAATGACAAGGAGACCTCTCTGTGTTGCAGGGCAGTGCCCGGACGGGAGGGAGCTCACCTTCGCCAAGATCGCCGGCTTCTCGCCATCGCTGTCCACGCCGCCGCCGCTCCTCTACGCCTCCACCTACGGCACCGCCATCACTGCCGAGTGCTACAACAGGTCAGTATTATTGTCAGTAATTATATTATCATTATATTGTCATTTATAAGTATTTAGTTATTTTATCTGTTGAGCGGTATAATTTTATGGGCAAAAACATTGTTGCCGAAGGACTAAACTACCAGCTCTTATCTTTTTTTATAAGTTGGAATATGTTGTAATTCAATTTAGGTGGTGAAGAATAGATTAATGCTTTAATACCATACCTTGAAATTCCATCAAGGTGATTCAAATCCGGCCGTTCTGATTAAAACGAAACAATTCTTTTTTCTCCTTATATTTCAAGATTCTGCTGATGACATTAGGTCCTAATAACTATATAGTCCTATTAAAGCAGGTGAATTTTGAAGCTTTATTATTACTTGGTTATATAGAAGTTAACATCAGCGAGTGGTACGGTTGAGTGGTTGAGTGGTGATAATGGGAGACAATTAAATGTGGAATGCATTTTCTGATTCCCGATTCCCAAACGCTGTGTGCCATGGTGAATAAAAGATAAATAATAATAATAATAATTATAGCAGACACGCTATTATTTCTTAATTCATCAAGAAACACTATGGCACTTTCCGAAAGCTTCCTTCAAATCGTGCGCAACTCATCCAGATACCTCATTTACACACTTATGCTCACGATGGTTTCAGAAACTTGTAAAATCGCCTTCATTAGAGAGTAGAATGTCACTCATAACGTTGGATAGACATATATCATTCAAAAAGTTCTTTAGAATTGGTGAGCGAGTACAAAAAACAGTGTGGACCCGATGAAAGAAAAGCATTGTGGAAAGGAGACACCACCTGATGCAATGAACTGCCTAACTCGGGTGGAGGGCGCATTCTGGGGACTTAGATATCCAGCCACAATCACCATTTATAAAGGTATTGTGGAGCGTCTCCCTTCTGACAGAAAAGACAGAAGGCTCTACAGTAGTTTCGTAAATTCTGGAGATGAGGATTATATACGACCTTGATAGATGAAGAAGATAACTCGGGAGGACAAGATTGAAACATGGAACCGGCGGTGGGTAACTACCCCTAAAGGAAGTACATTGAGGAAGAGCTTTCCTACAGGCGGCTTCAGGCAGAGTGGGTCCTCCTGGACTGCTGGATTTCTTAGTTACTCACTGGGTATGGAGGATTTCGAGCTAACCTTCACGGCATGGGTATTGAAGTAGGTCCTCTATGCCTAATTTGTGGTGTTCCGAAAAGTGTAGAGCACGTGGACACTATCTACACCGTATTTGAAACGTTAAGAGCGACAATGACAAGAGCCGCGGGATTCTATGTCCTCACTGAAACTTAGTTTCCTCAATTACTCAGTGAAGAAAATTACCTGCGGTTCAAGGAATTCATAACTGGTTGGAAGACGGTGGTGGGACCAGCTTACTTCTGTATAGGTGCCCACAGAAGAAGAGTTCTGGGAAGACCTCCAAATTAGTTTCGTTTCTTTCGGTAGTACGATCTTCCGCTCAGGAAGGAGGAGAACGGTAAAGCGGCCTCCACCACGGCCTCTGAAATATTCTCGAATACTATGTCTCGACCGATGCATTTTCTTTGAAAGTTAGATCGCTTGATTTAGCTGCAATTTAACGATCAGTGTACAATTAGTTTAGTACAAATCTCATCAAATTCCTTTTGATGGTGAAAGGTTTACCAACTTCATTTTATACATTATTAACATTTTCCATATCATAATTTCAAAATTGGTTTTGTAATAATTCAGGCAGTAAATTTAATTTAGTGTTTTTAGAAAAATTCGAATTAATAAAAAACAAATACGCAATATTTATAAACTTGTTCAACTTATGTAATATGATGTTTCAAACAGTAGCAGTGCTATTAATAGTAGTATAAGTGCTAGTAATAGTAGTAATTATCAGAGTGCTAGTAAACCTAATTATATTCAAAGTCTTCTTAATATTATATCTAAATATCAATGTTTTAAATTATAAAAAAATACCAACATTAGGATTATTCTATAATATAATTTGTAATTTTATTTCCAATACTAAACGTTGAAACACAAAATTACTATCGTTCAAATTTCGTTGAACAAATTGATCATTGATACATGTTTTTTAATATGTTAGTATTATGTATGTGAAATATAAAATATTGAAAAATAGCTATTTTGATATTCCACTGATGAAGTGAATTTTAAAAACGTCATGTGCTTTCACTCAATCAGTAAATTAAACTTGCAGACTATTTGGGGCATATCCATCCCTTAATCTACGAATTACATTTAAGGCAAATGTTAATTTAAAAAAAAATCACTACTGTATGATTGGTTATTTATTTATTTATTTATTTATACAAAAACTGGTTTTTCCTATTTTAAATATTAATTGAAGATAAATGATTGGTGATACAAGTCAATCTAAACCAGTTGGGCGTTGGCAACGATTTTTTTTTCTATCTATCATATGTCTTAAGCTACTTTGTCGGCAATTAAAAAAATTATCAAGAAACATATGCCAGAAAAAGTCAATAAAAGGCTTATTTATAACCAAGTTCGCGTTCTATTAATTGGTTGTGTTTTTTTCTTATGAGGAATGTAAGGAAAGATACTTACCTTTTGGAAAAGCAGGAAATACAACGCCATGAAAGTAAATCATGTCCTTGTTTTTTTTTTTGTTTTTTTTTATATCTAGGTAATATATAATAATATTATGTAGACCATTATTTTGTTAGCTTAAATGTTGTAATGTTTCTTAAAAATATTATTCATTAAAACAAAATATTTATTAACTATGGTAACTAGTTAATTATATCGTACATGATGGAACATAATCTTATTAATATTAAGAATAATTGATAAAATCGGTATTCTTATACAGGCTGTTTTAGTTTTTAATGACCAAACTCTGTGGGGTGATTCTAGACAAAATATTCAACAAAATATAAAGTAAAGGAGTTAAGATCAATTTTGTGTTGTCACGTTTTTTATTGAATCAGAAGAAATTGCTTAAAAACTGTTCGAGATAAATTCTAAGATAAATTTTCTAAGATTAAATTCCAAGCAAACCTTCGTAAAATAGACAATTTTTTTTTTTTTTAAAGAATGAATCAATTTACGAACGTTACTACAGTAGTTACAGTTATCATACCGCATTTCTCTGCACAGCGGCCATATTTAACCTTCTGAAAGTCTTTTTTATCATTGACCTTATTAAATTTAATCACTATTTATAAAAAAAAAAAAAAAAAAATTCTACCTTACGATGCTGTACTTAGAATTGAATTATCTTGAACAATTTTTGAGCAATTCCTTGTTATGTAATAAAAAAACATAAACAAACAAAATAGGTCTTAATTTCTTTTCCGTTCGGAATCGATCCATGCATTAAATGAAGTTTTTTGTTGGGAAATTTGTCTAAAATCACCTTTGATTTTACATATTACTATCATCACAGAGTTGGCTAGTAATAATTGAGACACTCTATATATTAATTGTTAATAAATAACTTAACTATTGGAGGTGGTAATTTGCACTCGACTAGTATTTTTTTCTTTCCTACCTATACTAGGTAAGGAAAGTATTGCAATCGGGTCAAATTTCCGATATGCGGTTTTCGACGGATCTAGACGTTTCAGAGCCCCCTGAGTCCGAAAAACACATTTTAAGCCATTGGTCTGTCTGTCTGTGCCAAGATTTTCTCGGGAACTACTTGACAGATTCTGTTGCTTCTTTTTTTATTTTGTAGGATTTTGACTACTGATGTCTGTGACAGAAATTCGGTGCTCCATTCACAATAGCTTGCGCGCAATAAATGAAAAACACGTTTTTCTATAGACTATAGCGCAAAAATGGCACTAACGATTTTTATGAAACTTTCCTATAATGTTATAATAATTTTTCTTTCAATTATATGGACTGAATTCCCGAGAAAATACAGGAAAAAAAGTTATAAAGAAAAGAAAAATGTTATGGGGCCTAACTCCCCAAGTATATATTATACGGTAAAATTCATAATAAAACTTTTGAAAGGTAATTAAGTTACAAAAAAAAGATCATCGGAATCGAACCAGTATCAGCAATGATACAGCTTATTTTTTTTACTTTTAATTACATAACACGTACAATTATACTTCATATGACTACTGCGAACGACAGACTTAAAGCCACCTCTTTCAAGGTCAATGTTATTGAGTCAGAGGTATTGCAATACATATGTGATATACTTTTGTTCAATTATAATATATTAGGTAACGTTAAAGAGGGAGCTGATTACACCAAACACTTCAAACATGTTGAAAAGTATTTTATTTATTACGTATTTTATTTTGACATTTATTTTATTTTTATAAATATAAATATGATTATATCATTGAAGTACTTTATTATTATTATTATTATTCCATTGCCGACTACATGTTTTAGAATAGAATTGAATAGAAAATAACTTTAATCTGGGACAAAGTTCCTTTAGAATAACAAAATAGTACATAATTAAAAGACTACATCTGGCTAAAATAAAACAATAACAAAAAAAGAGAAAGTAAAGAAAATATTAGTTAAACAAGCTATATACAAAAAAAAAAAAAAAAATCTATATACAAAGATATGATAAAACACTTAAAAATATGCACAGTAGGAAAAATTATAACTATACACTTATGAAAATATGTATGTGTCTTATGATTGAATCTAGAGTAAAAAATAAAAAAAATAATAAAATAAAACTCTACTCCTCCCCCAAGTTAGCCATGCTAAATTTCGTAAAACAAATAACAAAAAAGAAACCTCAAATAAATAAAAATAAGGTGATCTACAGTTTTCTCTCAGCCTTTATTGTTTTCTAATTTTATTGTGACATGAATGGATGCGTAGCAAAGCGCTCTCGCTCAATCTCCACTGGTTTAAACACCAGTGACGCGGTTGAGAGTATAGCTAAAAAAGATCTGGAGTCCAGGCTTTTTCTCTAAAGTTGGAGGGACAAGCCTGAGTTGGAGTTCTCTCACTTGTTTGTTTGTATATATATATATATATATATATAT